TTCCGATGGTTCGGACAGAGTTGGTTGCCTGTTGGTACACTGCCTTTTGGGCTGGTCTTTGATGAGATGAGGTGTATTTCATCACGTTTGATGGAAGCGGAAGTTGTGCAATAATTTGGAGACTTATTAGTCTATATATCCTGAGTTTGTGAAACTCAAATCATTACCGGTCTCATTGATATGAGCTTAGTTTCCTTCCAGTGTGTCTTTGAAAACATATCTCCTTCCTCCTGTAAAATCATCTGTCAATTATACAGCGTTTTGGGTTAAAATTCGTTATTAAGTCGTTTTAATAGGAAATCGAAAAATTTGTCCCTATCGTGAGACTCAAGCAGTTCTCTTAGTAATTAGTTCCCTTAACTTATGGCAGTGAAATCGTGACATTAAACCTACAATGATTGATTGTTAAGACTGCTCACTTCATTAAGGAACAAGCAATTTTTTAGCGTCGTTCAGTGAATTATGCGTGAATGTCACTCTTACCTTTACTGTTCTTTCTTTTCCATCTAGTCCAACCTTCCTCCCATTACACTAAGCAATTCACTTAAAAACGCTAAGGAAGAGAGTAATCAAAACGGTGGCGCTGACGTGCCAACTCTACCGAAACTCGACATGGAGTTAGTCGCTACCCTTGGTGCTCAGCGACCCCCGGAGTCGTTCTTTAACACCAAGCCTGCCATCTTACCACCTGTTCAATCGCTGCTGGAGGTACTTTGGGCAGCACCGTTGCCACCATCACTACAACACAGCGGCTGTCACGATGAAGATGCTAGAAAATGCGAGATTCTAGCCAATGCAACACTTGACTGGCGCAACTGCGTGGCGCGGTCTTCTACCTTGTCGATGAGGCTCTGCGAGGCTCTTCGGTTGGTCCTTGAACCCACTCGAGCTTCCCGCATGAAAGGTGATTTTCGCACTGGGAAGCGACTCAACATGCGCAAGGTTGGTTAAAGGGAAATGTTGAACGTTGTCTTAGGTGCACTCAACTGTGTACTTTAACGTTTCTCGATTTCAATGGTGGAGTGCGATTGTGTTTTGGTCTAATAGA